TGGAAATTGAAATTTAGAATGGTGTGGCCCGCATTGACCACACGAAAAAAGAGCTGGTTACGTCCCTGGTTGTAAGACGAAAAGAATCATTTAAACACTAAACCAATTAAAATTGTAATTTCTTGGTTGGCAGATTTTCAACGAGCTACAGAAATTGTAATAGTTAGGTCATATTGATGTGCCTACTCTTGTTTATGAGAAAAACTAAGCACAAGAATGATATCGAAATAACAATTAATTTAGTTTAATAATCAATAAATAATACATATTAGAACAAACGACCTATTACAATAAAATCTTAATTAGTAATTTTTGTTAGGTAGGTTTTATACTTGATTAAATTATTATTGTTGTTTTTTTTTCTCTGGTAGAATTATGCGGCACTGCCGGGTACCCAGCCGGATCCTAAAAAACATAGCGGATCCAAACGGGGTACCCAACCCATTACTAATCCTGAACTAATCGTCGCTTTTCCATAAAACTAGAACATCTTACATTCTTAACTAAAGAAAGAAAAAAAAATGTAATATTAATCGATTGAAATCACTTATTAAAAATCACAACATTCTTACACAGTTCCCAACATGTTGTTCACATATTTATGTTAATGTTCATTCAATTTTGAAAATAGCTAGTGATTAATAAGTTTCATTTACACTTTTTATTGGTTTTTAGCACCTCTTTTTCTGCGAACATAATTGTTCAAAAGGAAATACATGATATAAGCATCATCGAATGGTGTTGAGGAAAAACTGGATGAAACTAGCATTATCCGACTTTAATAGAAATCTTTTAAACAATACGATCAGCTTCTTAGGAACTGGTTATTTGGTCGCGTCATTTGGAAAACTCGCTAGCAAATATTAAAATTAAGCAAATGGATATCTAACGATTCGGTCATTTGTAGAACGATTGTGAATGTCACGCAATGATTTGTAAAACTACTCCACTCGTGTACATACAATATGTACAACAATAACAGTATGTCGTTGAGGATTTGTTACGTATTTTTTACAGCTAGCTACACTCGAAAAAAAAAACACATTTAATAATCAGAAATTAGTCACCGCGTTCTCAAGTTATGTAATCTATAATTTACTCAAGTTATATCTATAGGTATACGGTTAAACTTTCTTAACTCATAAATGCAGCCAGATAATCTAGAGTTAGAGAAAAACAATCCAGTTTCGATCCCAGATTGTTACTTCAGACTTATTTTTCTTATCACAATTTCTAAATTAGTTTTATTTCTCTGTAAGATGCAGTTGGAAAAATACTTTTTTTCATTGTTTTGTACGTTTTTATAAACAGTAATTTAGGGCAGAGATACTAAAAAAGTAGGCGAAGGTTTGATGAAGCAACAAAGTAATGGTTAACATTGAACTTCTATTATTACTATTTTATCCGTTATTACGAATGTGACCAGAAATCACAAATAACGTTTTATGGCCTGGTACAATACAAGCCTTGTCTCAGTAGTGTTGACAGAATTTGTGAATTTATGTCACAAGAAAGTAATGATTTTTTTTTATTTTTGTGTTAGTCATTTTCATATTTCACAAAAAATTTCATTTATTTCCGTAAACGTTTATTTTAGCAAGAATCATTTCTCAAAAAAGTACGTTTTCATTTTCGAACTTCATTGAAACACACCTTGTACATTCGTTGTTTCTTTCAATTTCCTCCCTTCTCTGACAACTGTTTTATCACCCCTTTAGATAGCAAATTGTTTTTAATTTCGGCTCTGTTAATAACCGATCAATAGCGCCTTGGGAGAGAAAGTGACAGCGTCCTTAGATAGATGAGATTGGATAAAATAAGAACAAGGAACAATAAATGGTGTCACAAACCCCTAGCGTACTGTGAACGAACCTTTTCCTTAGATAAGGGTAAAGTTACCGAAAATAGTTAATTTAAATTTCTTGGTGACAGTATCAGAAAGAGTTAGAAAATTTCAAAAGCAGTGGGTATCTTCTTTTCAATTTTCAATTTGATGCTGTAAAATGGATTCCATTTACCGCAAGCTGTAGCTGATAAGTCATTTACTTATATCTGCTTAAAGTAAAAATATTGTGTTCAGGCGAGGTGCTATTTTCATATGAAATCCTTAGTTTTCGAACGTTTAGCCATTCTTCTATTGAGTGATAGCACTGGGGGTTGAACAGTGATGAATGATGAAGTATTTTGGAAGATAAAAATTCATAGGAGCGTGGCAGAATAACTCTAAACAAAAGTACAACTAAAAGAGGAAGAATGGTGAAAGAATATCAGAAAAATTACGTAGCGGTAGCGCAGTAAGTGAATAAAATACTACAGTGTTAGTCACTCACGTAACAGCAATTTTATTTTTCAAACATTGCAAGAGGCAGGCATTTTATTCTTAGACTAGGGCGATTTATTACGTGCATGTTCTATCAAACGGTCCATTGAATAAGAGAATTGAAATTTGGCAGTCATCCATTTTATCGCAGGAAAAACATTTTATGATTACCTTTATTGACAGCAAAAATTTGATCAAAATTTACGTACATTTTAAGAATTAGTGTAAAGCGTAGTTGTATCTGATTCAAAAATTAACAAAACTGAAGCCTTTTTATCAAATATAACAATTGGTACTAACTTATATTTTGCCTAATAACATTATTTAACCATGAAAACTATTTTTTGATAATAACTCGAAGTTTTTTCAAATTTTACAGGGATCAATGTTAGGGACCGCAAATGTCTCTCGAACTTCTCCGTTTCTTAACTTTCTTCGAGAAGCTGCTCTGTTAATTAAAAGTTCACAGTCTCCATCTTCCTTTTCCTTTCTTTCATAAGTACTTCTTTGTTTGAAATGCACTAACGCTGATTAGTTGATTTTGAAAGTAAAACAAAGTACCTACATCATTTCCATGTTTCGTTATAACAACTTCAATAACCTTAATGCAAGGGTGTGGCACAACGTCTTGTTTTTGTATTTTCTGGTGGAATTACGCGAGGGAATTGAATCGATTTTTACGATAATTTTATAAAAGGAGATCATATTTCGTGTGTGGCTATGTTCAGGGTGAACAAAAGTTTTTCAACCATGTTATTTAGTTTAATAGAGAGAAATACTACAAATTGTATATATTTATTAACAGAAAAAGAAAAAAACGATGAATTGCAATATCAATATACATAAGAAGGGTCAGGAAAATGAGCGAAAATGTTATTATTAATCATTTGAGTCACTATAGCCGTATATGATTTCTTGAGGATCAGTCATAATAAANATTGTTTGGAGACTTCGAGGTAACGTTGAAAAAACGAGAAGTCAAAGAAAAATACGTCATATCGAGTTTGCAACTGAAGGTAAGGACCTAAAATTTTTTTTTGCGGCCATGGCTGAATTCATTATTTTAAGAATATGGTGTCAAATAGCTGGCGAGAAGTTACCCATATGTGGTATGTTGGCTGGCCTGAAAAAGGTGTTCCAATGGAATATAACTCGATTATAGCCTTTTTAATCGAAGCCCGAAGTTATTTAAAACTACCGAACACTGCAGAAACCCCCAAGGTAATTAAATCAAACATAACATTAATTATGAAATTATATTTATATTTGAATGCAAATTATGGTTCAGATTAATGATGGAATGAACGTAAATGGACCAAATGGTAACGGTCCAGTTGTGGTACATTGCAGTCCTGGTACTGGTAGAACTGGGACCATTATTGCCTGTGACATGGCAATACGTGAGTTTGAGCAGGCTAGACAAGTTGATATTCCCAAATTAGTTTACAGGATAAGACGTGATAGAGCGGGAGCGGTACAAACAAAAGACCAATACGCATTTATATACAAAGTAAGTAGTTTATTCAAAAATTATAACACCATCTAATTCCTTGTGAAATTTTAAGAAACATTTTCCTTTTCGGTTTTTCAATCTGATATGTAATAACAGAGTTATTAACAATTGAAAAGTAACCAATTAGAGCGCATCGTTTTCGCTGCAACTGTAGCAGTTGCAAGCAGCGGACTCGTCTGCAGCTCTCCATTTGTTTGCAGCAACTGAGATCCGCCCTGATTGGTCCGTTTTCAAACGTTAATTACTCAGTAAGTAGGCATCGAATCGAAAATTTGAAAAGGAAAATGTTTCTTGGGAATCCACAAAGAATAAAATGGTGTACAAAAAAATTAAGTAATCGAAATTTATTTTTTATTAATTATTACAGGTTGTTAGTACGTATGCAATCAAACTGACTGGAGGAGTCACTTTGGAAAGCATTTAAAAATACTTGTATATTTATATACGTATTTATGTATTTTTATATAGGTAATATTAAGAAACCAGTGGAAGTAAATGATAATAATAAATACAAATATATTTTTTATAAGATTGAAAACTATGAAGAATCTACAAACACATTCCAAATTGTATTTATTACTCAAAATGTATCTGGTATAGATACAGCAACTAATGAGAAATTTCCATTTTTTTTATACTTGACTGAACTAAATTTCAAATTAAGTTAAGTGATTATTATCTGTGTAAGACATCTGCATTTGGGTGCAATTCCTAAAAACCGGAATACGGAAAGAAACATATCATTGTAGGGTACAACAAATATAATTTATCAGAAAGAGGGGTAGTAACTTTATTTATTATCAAAAATAACCACAATTTTGTTAGTTTTGTACCAAAAATAAAGTATTTTAAACGAACGCAGTTGATGCCTTTTTTAAAGTTTTGTTTCTTTTTCTGATAGTTGTTATTATATTTTTTTGCCCGCGTTATATTAGTTGTCTACATACATATGTATATAAGTTAGATTAATAAGCTCTCTAATATAATTATTTAGGCATTTTAATTAACCATTTCCCATAAATCGTGATACAATTAACAGGAATTCTAGATACATAATATATATCAATCAATATTTTACAAAAATAATTTAAAGAATTATAATTTTTTTATATACTTGTGTGGATCCTAATCAGTGACGTATAAACCGGAAGGGACGTTGTGGGAGCCCTTTAAAATGCTACGCCACTGGTCTTAACTGTGACTACATTTTCATATTTAATTATTTTAGGCTTTACAACTTAAGGAAAATGTTGATTAATATTTTCAATGAGTAGCTATTTAATGCATTGTTAATGATTTTATGGTGCATTAAAGTAACGATTAGATATGATGATATGATGTACCATTACCTAAAAACGTCCCCAGCTACGTATTTTAGTCAGTCAGGAGTACCATTAGATACCCGATAGATGGATTTTTGTTATTTCTAAATTGTTTATTGTGTATTATTAAAACGGTTCATTCTTTGAAGGAAGAAAGTTTTATTAGATGATTTGTCTTTAAAGTTTTGTTTATATTTACGTAAAATGTTTGTAAATTAGATACAAAAAATTATTGTGATTGTACTTTAAGGTGTAATATAAGAGGTAAAGAACGATGTAGATATAAAGAAATGTTTATTTTCTGTAAATAAAAGTTATAGCAATGATTTTTAGTTTTCTGAAATGTACAAATTTTCAATTAAAAGACTAGTAAAATGAATACTAACAGTAACTAAATTTAAATTAAGTAGAATAATTTTCTTTACATAACAAAATAAAATACCAACACTTGGTATGGAAAATAAAGAAATATCCAAAAACTTTTCTGCATTAAGATTGACTCTCCTTCAAGGTAAGTATAATTTTTTAGATTTTTGCATTAAAACATTAAAAGAATATCAAGATATTAGGATAACGTTAATGATATTCCCTAACTAAATAACTAAGTAGCAAATAATAACGGTTTTCTATTGATTTTCGTAGATTGAGATAATTTAAATACAAAATAACAATAATTTCACCAAATTCTTCATTTTAAATAAAAATTGCCGAAAAGTATTAAT